TACTCTCTTTTTTTTGAAAATAAATAAACCCTTAATAGATTATAAAACAAAAAAAAAAACTATTGGGGGGAATTTGCAATTACCTAAATTGGGAAACCATAGGACCCTTACCTTTTCTTTATTATAAAATCATTGACACTCACACCGAACATAACACATCACTTCGACACTCAGAAGAAGCATAGGACTCTCTCTCTCTCTCTGTTCACATGACTCGTCCTTTCCGTCTCCTAAGCGGCACGAAGTCCTCGGCAACCCTCGAGCCGCCGCCGCCGCCGCCGCCGCCTCCTCCTCCACAAGCTGGCGCCGTTGACTCTGACTTCGTCGTAGTCCTTGCCGCTCTACTATGCGCTCTAATCTGCGTTCTGGGTCTCGTCGCGGTCGCTCGCTGCGCCTGGCTCCGTCGTCTCTCAGGAGGCGGCGCCTCTTCCCGCCCCTCTCCGCTCGCCAACAAAGGCCTAAAGAAGAAGATCCTTGAGTCCCTCCCGAAACACACCCTTTCCCCTGAATCCGCTACGAAATTCACCGACTGCGCCATATGCCTGACGGAGTTCGCTGCCGGAGATGAAATCCGGGTGTTGCCGCAGTGTGGACACGGATTCCATGTGCCCTGCATAGACATGTGGTTGGGGTCCCACTCTTCCTGCCCTTCCTGCCGCCAGATTCTGGTGGTGACCCGGTGTCAGAAGTGCGGCGGAGTACCGGGAACCTCCAGCTCGGGAGCTGCCTCTGAGGGCAGATTGAAGGAACAGGAAGATGGTCATGTAAATAGGTTTTTGCCCTAACCTTCATAATTAAGAGGGTTTCGCATTTCATTTTTAAGGTAAATTAAGAATTTAGTTAGCATCTAAAATACCCATTTAGTTTATAATCAGTACTCCACTCAAATGTTAGCTCTGTATCTGTTTATATTCTGGTGTAAATCAAAATTACTTATGTTATATGTAATTCAGAAACTTCATTTTCCCAAACAGAAGAATTCTGCATCTTTTGATATGATATCTCTTGAAAAATGATATTAGCAACAGCATTTGGATTTGCTTTCACAGTCCCCGAGCACCTTTCTTCTGCCTGTCTTTTTTTTTTTTTACTTTTATTTTTATCTTAAATTACACAATTTAGGAAATTGTCATTTCTTTTTTTGAATGCATCTAATAAAGATATTATTTTTTAACCTAATTATAAATTATATAAAAATAAATAGTTTTCTCTTATTTCTTCATTGATTTAAAATTTGAATTTAGGGTCTTTGAATTAGAGTCTCAATCTTTTAATTATTGAGTCAATATTTT